AATCACAATAACCTATACATACAGTGGTATACATTATAATAGAGACTCAATTTGTAATTGAAATGCAATTATAGTTAATGTCTGTTATAATTGATTGATTAGTAGTAAAGAAATAAACGAAAATAATTTATTCAAATGAAAAGGCGATTAAACAGAAAAAGGTTAACAACACATACGAGTGAATGTAATCTAGAAATTGTTTTTGTATTTTTGCAAATAATATATTGAATTGAATATAAATCAGTGTAAAAGTCCTTTTGAAATGCTGTCATTTTATTGATTTATGTATTTGTTATGTATTTGTAATCATAATGAAAAATACTGGCAAACAAAGCAAACGATAACATTTTGGTTGCGTTTAAACGGCAAAAGTAAAACTAAAAAACTCGTAAACCGATTATCAAATCATTAAATGAATTAATAATACATAAAATATCGGATCGTTTTCATTGTATACAACAAATTGTATTTTTGTTTCAAAAAGCAATTCTCATAAATATATAGTGAATTAAACGCTTAACTAATACTTAAATAGCAATTAGTTTTTAGAAATTGAGACAAAAAGTAATTTTTTGTTTTGAAAAACAAAAGTTTTTCTGCGATTGTATTTATTATTATTGCCTAAAATGGCATCAAAACTATTTGTTTTACAAATAAAGTATTATTTGCTAAGAAATCATTCAATCGTCTCGTTTGATGATTAATTACATGTATACTCTGGATCTCTCTCTCTCTCTCTCTCTCTCTCTCAGTAATTAGTAATGAAAGAAAAATTATAATTTTAAAACGAGAGACAATTTTCCGTTTGTTTTCCCAAAAATAGATCTAAAATTTGTGTTATATTTCGGGCAAAAACCAATTCAAGCGATCAAAACGATTACATATAATAATAAATACATAAAAATAATTGCTTTAAAAAAATAAAACTAATTATGAGTTCAAGTGCTTTAAACACAAGAAATACATATGTTTTTGACTTATATTTTGCTTATCTTATCGAAAAACACGAGTTAATGGTTAAGAAAACAACAAAATCAATAATAAAATAAACGAAATTGGTAATTTAACTTAAAACCTATCAATATAGTTTATAGGCTATAAATGATTGACATTTCAATATTGTTTTTTTTCACGTCAATTATATAATTATGAAATATAATTAATTCATAAAAATACACAATAAATTCAATGCTAAATCAATGGGGAAAACGGGATAATAATTATGAAACCGGGAATTGCGAAACAAAATACTAGTCAATCAAAAGCACACAAACAAAGTCTAAAACTAACACAACTTTTTAATCACAAAATAATAGACACAGAAAAATAGTCAAACAAAAATTTACTGACCATTAAATTGACGGACAGACGGGTGTCGGACACAACACAGTCCTTATAGACGAGTACTGAACCCAAACGCTCGGCATTTGTCACCTCAAAGTCGGTCCACCGATACGTCTGTGTCGTCCCAATGGACTCCACTTTGGACTTAATGGCCAATAGGTTTGAGAGATTAGATTTGGCCAATTGTTTATAGGCGTCATTCAACGTGTTTTGGGCGGTCAGCTCAACGCCGGGCACCGGTATGCGTGTCGGCCCGATAGCGGCCGTCTCGTGACCATCGATGGGCAGCGAAATGCATTTCTGAAGCGGTTTTTGTGCCGATAATACCACAGTCGGGGGTATGGGTGGCGGGGGGTCGCGATGGGGGGCCGCCGACACTGTCTGGTGTATATTAGGCGATGACTTGTTCCGCCTCCGGGCCGGCACTGATGGCCGGTTAGCTCTGGGCGTTCGCGGCGGCGCCTCCGGTCTCTGTACGGCATACACGTCGTTGACTACAGTGTTATAGACGGGTTCGTCGGGTGTTTGGCCGCCAACGGGTGTCATATCGATCGGGTGGACAATCGTTAGTGTCGTCCGATCGAACTCCGACTGCTTCCAGGCCTTGCGGTCGGCGCCGGACACCGTCGACGAGTCGGTGACCGTCACTCCCGACTGGGAATCGCTGGCAATGATATCCTTAGTCCTGGTGTCGGGATGTTTGTCCGAATGGCTCTTCTTATGCAACAGTTTTCTTATGGACGAAAAGCGTTGCTTCGGAGGCGCGGCCGGAGTCGTGGCCACAGCTGTGGCGGCGGCGGTGGTGGCCGTCGTTGTCGTCGACGGGCTCTGCGGCCGTTTCGGCTCCGGTTTGTTGACAATAGGTTTCTTAAGCTCAACATCAGTGTTACCGCCAATCACCGTATGATCGCCGGACTTGTGGTGTCGTGCGGTGGCCGGCGGTTGAGGCGCCGGCCGTTTCATGTATCGACACTGTTCCAGCTCTTGAGCCAATTCGGCCAGTTTCAGGTCCCGGTGCTCCTGAGGCGTCGCCCTCCCATCCAGTGAGTGGTGATTATCGTCCGACGACGAAGTGGTGGAGAATTTGCCACTCATTCCCGACTGGTCTTCGCCGGAATCGCCGCCAATCTCTTGGTATATGTGTTCGGCGGCCACTCCTGTTGTCGGCGACTCCTGACCACTGGTGTTGACCACTACCACCACCTCGTGGTTATCAAATACCAGGTGGGCTTTGTTGTGGTTATTGCCGTTGTCTTGATTTAAATGCAAATTCAAGTGTTGACTCTTCTGGTCGTTGTGGTGATAATCGTTGTTGTCTTCGGCATTGCTTTTGACAGTTATGGTGATGGGAATGGCCTGCGGTTTGGCCGCCGCTGTATTCATAATTGAGCTGATGTTGGGTTTGGCCGGCAATTGGGGTTTGCATTTAAATTCTGGCCTATAGTTGGCCACCGGTTTCGTGGGTTCGGACGCGTCGCTGGACTCACTATTGGTGCTCAATGTGTCCGACTCTGAGTCGACCCTCAAGTGCTGTATCACTTGAGCTGAGAAATCTGATCAAGGGCATAAATAGATTAGATTATAAACTTGTTCAAACACGCAACTGGAACTAACTAGCTGCCATAATAACTAGTTGCTATGATAACTTACCAACTCGTTTCTGTTGGTGTTGTTGTAGTTTCTTATTATTTTCGTTTATTTCTTTACTACTAATCAATCAATTATAACAGACATTAACTATAATTGCATTTCAATTACAAATTGAGTCTCTATTATAATGTATACCACTGTATGTATAGGTTATTGTGATTACAAAATACTTTTTACAAAAGCAATTGAAAACTTAAATAACAATATAAAACAAATTGTTTTGTTACACATTTCTCTCCTATTGTATGTCTTTATATCAATTGAAACGCGATTTAAATGTTGGTATTAATTATCTTTAATGGCTTATCATAGGTATTGTCCGATTGCTATACCGCACCAATAGTTAACCAATTCAGACATCACGATGAATTGGTGCTGGTTTTGGATCACCAGTGGACCAAATACTACTTGCTGGACGAGCTGACCGAGACGAGCATGGTGCAATTCGATGAGAAACAAATCAATTCACTTATACTACAACTATATTCAACGTTGGAGTACTTCGAGCAAAATGGTTGCGACCGATTGCCCGCCACCACGATTACCACCATTACTATCTGCGCCTCCAACGATGATATCCTACTGGTTGTGCCCACCGGTGCCGACCATAAATACGTTAGCGACAGCACCGGTGCCCTAACACTCGCGCCGCACGTATCGCTCCATCAGTTTTTGTCGGAAATATTGGCCAAACTATTGTCAAACTCGCTGTTCGTGTCGGTGGGACATGTGCTCAGTCAGCCCACAGTACCCATCGGGTGCTCGAAGATCATTGTCCAGCTCTTGG